GCTTTAACATTTTAAACATGAATTGTGATGGTATTTGGTATCCACCACATCCCAAAAAAAAAAGGAAAAAAAGGAGGTTTATTGATTCAAAGTGTTTTTAAGCAAGTCGCATTAAATCTAAAGTCTAGTTAAACTATAAATGACAGATGTATTGGGGAATTTCACTCTCCAATATGCGTAATTCCGAAGCCAATCCATAATCAACAAGATATAAAACGATCACAATCAAAGAAAAAAACACCAGGATTTACGTAGTTCGGTCGACCAACTTCGACCTACGTCCACGGGACAACAATACGGGAAATTCACTATGTATCAGGGAGAACTACAAGAGAAACCACTCAACTCTCGTCTCTCAATCTCTCAACCTCACATACATAATCAACTCTCATATTCTCTCCAAAGCTCACTCATTGTAATCTTTTGCACGGATAAAGATCACGAAACTCTCGCCTCTCGCACAATATTCTTAAATCAGGCTACGCCCTCTGCTAACCCTAAATTACAAGAATATTGGCTCTCTCTTTCCACTAGGGGTGAGCACGGTTCGGTTCGGGTCGGTTTTTACCAAAATTTGAACAACCGAACCGAACCACCTACAATTCAAAACCGAACTGAACCGTTGCAAATCGGTTCGGTACGGTTCGGTTCGGTTTGTTCGGTTCTAACTTCATCAAGTATAACAATCAAAGGCACAAATATTGCTTATCCCAAGAGTTTATATCCAGGCATCATTCCAAGCAAATAAACACAGCAGCAAGTTGTTGACATTGATTTTTTGAAAGCAAACACAAAGCTAGTTGCCTTTGTTCATATAACATCATAAAATAAGCACCAATTGAATATAGAAGCAAGTGTGAAGTAAAGTTAAAGTTTACATAGTAACATTTTATCCCAAGACGTATCACAGAAGACATCACTAACATGATAACATCACTAACATGAAAACTGTAAATAGAAGAGACAAATCATGTCTGCAACGAGCCAAGATCCTGCAACGAGCCAAGATCCTGCAGTAAGCAATCCCTTGATGACTTGATCAATAGATGTTCTGCAATTAACCCCCCAAAAAATTATGATAAGCAACAATACATACAACTTTCATACAGCTTTCTAATTCAACATATTTTCAATAGATGTTATGAGATTAATAGATGTTCCGCAACTAACATGAAAACAATACATATTGTAGGTTGGTGCAGCAAAGGAGCAAGCATCCAAGTATATCATAAACCATGCAAGAGTCTGTAAAGCTGGTTGACATGATACATGCTATGAGATTTTGTATTAAATTCCAGTGTTGCTGCTTTCAGAGGAAAATGATAGACGTCGTCAAAGCAAAATTTATGAAGTTGTGAAAACAACGAATCAGGCAAGCCAGGATCCTCACCAGTTCACTAGCTCACTACTGTTTAACAAATAGCTATATATAATGCTAAAGAACAAATGGCAACGGTCCCAAGGTTAATGAAACTTGAGCTTGAGTCATAAATGGTGTAACATGATAACAAGTTGGTTTTTTTTCAGAGGCCTCACAGTTGTAAATGGTATGCACATTATTATCTTGATAATGAAACTAATCTGTATGGATAACTGATATGGCAATTGCCACATATATCTGGTCATAAGGGAAAATTAATCTAGTATACAGATACAATGAAAACACTTCATAAGGAAAAATTAATCAGTTTTCAAACTAGCAAAAAATTTTAAGCCACATTACTCTAGTATACAGAGGACAAGAATTTGACTGCTTGTAGCATTTCCTTATATCTTCAGAAGATAATTTATGGAAAAGCTTAAATATAGAAAGTAACCTCTATCTGCTTATTATAGAAGGGGAGCATTTATTGTACATTTGGTGTGGCAATGTCATGCGCACACATCTAAATGATTTCTGTATCAATTATGTTCAGTTTAGATCATATAAAACACCTCTTAACAATAATAAAACAATAGTCAAGCATGCACTAATTGCTCAATTTCCGAATCCTTGGCTCAATTGATAGTTTGGTCCTGAGCAAATTGAACTAACAAAGCTATAATACTTTGAAAAAAAGATTTCGAGTTCAGAACTGAGATCAATAAATAAACCCAACAAAATAAGTTCAGAAGCTAAAACACTAGTCTAGAAGCTTGGAACAATTGAACTATCAAAGCTTGGAACAATTGAACTAATCAAGATGACAAGAAAATAAACCCAACAAAAATAGATCCTGAGATGTTATACCTCGGCGACGGCGACGGGTGCGGATGCCCCCCATGACCGGAGATAGATCCTGAGCCGGAGATGGATCCATGAAGAGTTGAAGACTAAGGAGGCGGAGCGCTGGCGGGTGGCGGCTATCGGCTGAGAAGAATTGTCGGCTAAGAAGAGTGAGAGAGAGTGAGAATTGGGGAAATGGGGGCGGCGGCTGGGCTGGGACTGGGAGTCTGGGAGAGGAAATGAGGTTAGGGTTAGAGTTTTGATTCTTTTGGGTTTGTGGAATGGGGACGGGTCGGGTATACGGGTAGGGGGTTTGAGAATTGGGGAAATGGGAAAAAATTCGGTGGGTTCGGTGCTTTCGGTTTGAGAAGTTTTAAACCCGACCCAAACCGCCCAATTCATAAAACCGTTTTTTTCGGGTCGGTTCGGGTCGGTTCGGTCGGTTTTTTCGGTTTGAACCGAACCGTGCTCACCCCTACTTTCCACGACATCTTCTTTCTACCCTCTTCTTCTTCATTTTTCCTCCAATAATAGAAAAAAATTTATAGGGAAACTAAAATATTATCTTTAGCCTAACCTCCTAATTAGAATAGAATTCAAACTCCTAATCATGATCGAACCCAAACTCCTAATCATGATAGATCTCTAACCCTATCTAATTCTTATGAAGTTTTACAAAGAATCAAAGACAATCCTAACAATATGTTCTTCGAGTTTATCAGTAGAATTTATGGGGTCCAATTCAAGACTCATGCTTTCGATGTATGTTTGTCGGATTAGATCAAATCAGTATATGATTCATGCTTTTTTGTGGACGATTAAGCTGTAATCACAAATAAAAGAGAAGATTAATTTTGGAAATTTCATTTATAACTATAGCCCCTCGTTGGAAAAATAAAAAAGCAATAATGGAATTCAGAATATTAGGTAAACTCCCACAAGTATAAGCTTTTGGATTAATTTGATTCTGCAAATACTCTTGAATTGGGCCCGAATTCTTTCAACAATTTGTTTAACAACATATGCGATGGTTTGGAAAAGGGCTAAATTATTATATTGGTATTATTTGTACATTCCTCTTATGGTTTTTTTTCTCTCTAGCTGTGATGATATTTTGGTTTTTTTTCCCGAGCCAAACGTGTAATTTGATTCGCAACTTTGCCGCATGTAAAAAAACTCACGAAACCTCTTTCTTATTAGCGGTTATTGGTCTCTCAAACTCTCTCCACCATATTTAGAGGTAATATCATGCCTCTCCTTCTTTGTCTTATATTTTACTTATAATAGACTAAACATTCTTGTATATGTTAATTTGGGGTGGATACCAACCTCCGACAGCGGAGGAGCTCCGACGAGCTCGAGGATGACGCAGGCGAAGCTGGAGGCGTAGCCCAGGTGAGCTTCGATAGTCGCAGGTGAGCTCTGCGTTCGAACCCCCCTTTAGCTCTGCGTTCGAACCCCCTCCCCTGACCTCGGCGTTTTGGCGGTTCGAACTCTGCGTCACAGCGATCCCGACCCTCGCGTTTGGGTGTCGACCATTGCGTCCGCGGGCCGCTGGCGACAGTCAACGCCTCGCCTATAAAAACCCCCATCGCCTAGGGTTTCGGTGCAACGTTTTCCCCCCTCCTCCGACTTTCTTCTCTGGCGGCGGACTGCCCTAAAATCGCTGCTGCGATTTTGATTTATCCCCAGCCTTCAACAGTGGTTGAGGGGGATTTAAGAAGAGAGAGAGAGAGATCATCAAAGAGGGTTTTTTATTGTGTGACTTCATTTATTCTCAAAAGAGAATTGAAAGGGATTATTCCCTTTAATTATTAACACTGTAGCTACAGTGTTCAATTTGAGAAATCTCAGTTTTGAGATCTGCTCTAGAATTGTAATTTCTTGTTTGATTAATAAGAAATTTACTGTGTGGCTCCCGAGGACGTAGGCAGTTGCCGAACCTCATAAATCTTGTGTACTGTTCTCTATTCTGCATTTCTGTTGCATTAGGGATTTCAGCGTTAAATTCCTAACAGTATAAGCTTAAACATAGTTATCATCCATACACCGATATGCCAAATATTCTTCTGGCATTTTTCTCAGAATAAAATAGTACTGATAGTATCACATACACAGATATGCCAAATTAAATATTCTTTTAGCATTTTTCTCAGAAAAAAATAGTACTAATAGTATCACATGATGTTTCACGGCTTTAATTTTCACCGGCGATAAAATTTTGGGTTGAATTGTAGATTTAGCTCAGAGAAATTATAAAAACATTACCCAAGCTCATTAAGCATCGAATTGACGAGAGGAGTATATAAAAAATATGAATCTAATAGTTTACCGGTTTGGAAACGTGTCATACTCATGTAAGCAATATTCTTTGGATAGATAGGTTTTTTTTTTTTTTGAAAAGACAGGTAGGGCAACCTAACCAGCTAAGTTCTCAACAACTCTCTATCTCAAAAACAAAGGGACAAAAACAAACAAAAAACAGACTTAGTTGGGGAATGAGCAACATCATTACCACTATGCCTTACATAAGAAACTTTAGAGCAGCCAGTAATAATCAGACCAGCGCGAACTTCATCTGCAATAGGAGCCAAGGAAGCAATGAAAATTTTTATAGTGGGTATTAGTCGGCAAGATATATTGGTCATTAGACATTAGACCCTCAGATCTTCGACAATTTTACACTACTCCATCAAATCAATTTAAGTCTTTCAAATTCTAAGTTGTCTTGCTTTGTTGTCCCTCAATGATGAAACTATTCTTGTGTAAATTTTCTCTCAAAAACCCTGAACTTCTGTGTGTTAAGAAACATGAGGTGTATTTTGGTTATTAAAAGACCAAATTACATTACCTCTTAATATTTGAAGATGTATTTAGCAATTAAAAAAAGTTTTGCTGGACTAACATGGAACTACTGAAGATCTTGATGGGCTAATATTTTACCCAATTAATAAATAAGTTTTGCTACAGAGACCCAAAATATGAGACCAATAGGTGGAGACAAGTGAGGTGTCCCCCTCTTATTGGATAATGAGTTGGTCATCATTAATGATGACCAACTTATTATCTTATAAGAGGGGGACACTTCACTTATCCCCATATTAGTCCTATATTTTGAGTCATTGAAAAAAATTTTAATAAATAAATCTCACTAGTTCATCCTCCTCAACGACCCCTTTGCCATTTGTCGACACATGCAATATGTCGTGTAGCGCAAAAAACCATGGTTCAGCTGTGTAGCACAAAAAACCATGGTTTAGCCAATTAAACAAACCAAATAGCCCCCGGTATCTTGGACGCTGATTTCTCAAAAACCATCAACTGCTGCCTACCGGGTTTCAAAACTTGAGCTTATAAACTCACTTCCACTTGCTCCTCAATCTCCTATCAACCAAAACATAAAAAATCTTTTCTGTTTCCACTTACAATACAATTTTCGAGCTGAGAGATGGCAACTTCAGCAAGAAGAGCATCTTGGATTGTGGCTGCAAGCGTTGGAGCAGTTGAAGCGCTCAAGGATCAAGCAGGATTGTGCAGATGGAACTATGTGTTGAGATCTCTCCATCAACACGCATCCAAAGCTAATAACAGGAGGATGGCTTCGGCTGCTGCCGCTAACTCTATTGAGAGATTGAGGAAGGAGAAGAGCACTGAAGAGAAAGCCAAGCAATCCGAGGAGTCAATGAGAAAAGTTATGTATTTGAGCTGTTGGGGACCTAATTAGGACCGAATAGATAGACCCATGATCGAGTTGTGATTTGGGTGTCCTTTGATTTGTCCTTGTATTTGTACATAATCTTGAAAACGAGTTTAGTTATAATTTTACGAGAATTAATTATTTGCGTTCTCTTTCTATCCATGGGTCAGCGTTTGATGAAGAGTGGTGGTTTAGAGTCGCCGGTTATTTGCACTTAAATACCCCACAGTTTACATCATTTCTAGCTTTGATATTCATTAAAAAAACTCTGATAATGTAAAATGACCTGATATGTGAGTTATCGGAATTAGGTCTTTTGGAACTTTGGAGAAGTTTTTTCTGCGAAAAATGAAGATGACGGCATCCAAGTAGGAAGTGTTGTAAACCTTACGGTAATTAAGTGGAAATAATCCCAATTGCTTCGCTTTTAGAGCATTGATGATAAGATCGATTAACTACAGTATGATTCATTGAGATGACCAGCTGTATTGATTATGTACCTTAGAAGAAGTTGGGAAAAAAATAATAGTAATCATAATGGGTACACTTTAGAGAACTATTATGTACTGTTATGCAGTTACAAGAAACATGTCTACATTACGGATCGCGGTTTAAACGTACCTTATTTATTCAGTTCTTTCCAATCCATTTGTCAAGGGGAATGAAGCTGGAAATTCCACCTCCATTATTAACCTTCTATTGATATGATTTGGTTACTCTTAAATTAGGATGTAATTAAGATGAAAGATTTCAAATCTATCCTGCTATGAATCTAACAGCTAATATTAATTCGAATATGTGATAAAATAAATATTCCTCCATTTTCTTTATGGTAAAATAAATATCCCTCCATTTTCTTTACTAAACATTTTATTTTTCCTTTCCTTCCCCTATTTACTCTTCATCTCCCTTACCTTCACTCCGATTAAGAGCACAATTTTTTTTAAAGAGCTAAAGCACGAAGTTAGTAAAATAATGAAAGTACTTTGTATTTTGGCGAAAATGTGTCAAAGCCCTAAAAAAAGAAAGTGGATGGCCTAGCCCCAGCATCTTTTCCCCTTACTCTTTAGCCCCAAAAGCCCACTTTTATACATATACTCTATGTATTTTTCATAACCTATCGAAAATGCCCTCATCTCTCACCCAAGAAACCTTCCCCTTAAACCATGGAGCTGGTGATCGTTGTCATCACAATTAATGTGATTCAACAGCGAAAATGGAGGGAAAAAAGCACAAGTTCCCTCCATTACTAGGCTACCTCCTCCTCTCCATCGTCACCTCTGCTCCTTCCCTCAACCTATTTTTCACCGGTGGTGTCGCCTTCTCCCTCTCCCTACTCGTCTTTATCATCTTCCACTTTAAGAAGAACTTCAGGGCCCTCAACCTCCCTCCCGGCTCAAAAGGCTGGCATATTATGGGTAACCTTTTTCAATTTGCGCTATCTGGCAAAACATTTATCCACTACATCTGTGACCTCTGCGCCCTCTCCGACCCAATATTCACACACCGCATGGGCTCCCGCATTCTCATTGTCATCACTAGCGCCGAGCTAGCCCACAAGGCCCTCATCACTAAGGGGCAAGAGTTCGCTAGCATGCCCCCCGAAAACCCCACCCTAACCATTTTCAGCTGTGACAAGTTAACTGTCAACTCTGTTGTTTACGGGCCAGAGTGGCGATCACTGCGATGCAACATGGTTTCGAGCATGCTGAGCTCTGCTAGGCTCAAGGAGTTCAGGCTTGCTAGGGAGACTGGTATGGACCGGTTCATTGATCGGATTCCGGCCGAGGCAGAGTCCAGTGAGGGTGCGGTTTGGGTGCTCAAGAATGCTCGGTTTGCCATCTTCTGTATACTTATTACCATGTGCTTTGGTGTTCATCTTGATGGGGGTAGTATAAACAGGATTGATCAGTTTAATTACCATGCATTTATCCCACTAACATGCATGCATGCACGCACCCACCTTATAATGTCTAAATTAGTGATCATAATCAACTCTGAAGCAATTGCCCTCAGAAATTACTTCTAAAAAATTTTGAGAGGCACCCGAACCTGAGTTTTTTAATTGATAATGAAGATAATTTAAAGTACATATTAGAGCACAATTGAAATATTGGTTGTACGAATATTCACATGTAAGCTGTTGCTTATATATAGGGTTATACTTTTGAAAAATCAAAAAGTTCTTACTGAAATATAAGTACTCAATAAACTATTTTTAAAACTGTGCATTGTGTGATGTAAGATTTGTTATTTCAGCAAAATGTTCTCGATGCATAGTTGAGGGTCATAATCGAGCAACTTGCAATGAGCCAATTGGTGATTAGGGTGGACCGCTTCTTATAACAAAACTTTTGTTAGAGAAATATAGGATGTCCAGAATTTCATAGTATATTGTGGAAGACTTTTTGTAATCTGTGACGCTGTAAGGCTAATCATATTATGTATTCAAGCAATATTAGTTGTAAGAATGTAAGAAATATTATGTAATGTACTTGTTTAGCTGAGGTATACTATTTTTGCTTCCTGTTAAATATCTTGGTACTATAAAAACTTTCAATTGAATAACTTTGAGCTAATATTTCATTTGACAATGTTAACTTTTAAAAGAAAATGTTGGCTTTCAACTGTACACGTTGACGTTCAGATTCGTTAGCTAACTTTTTAAGTAAAGATGTTAACTTTTAGCTGAACATATTAATTTTTGATTAAAAAGGTTAACTACAAGTTATACATGTTAATTTTTAGATGTATATGTTAACTTTCAGACAAACATGTTGACTTTAACATGAATATGTTAACTTTCACTTGAAAGTATTAACTCTCAACTGAGCATGTTAACCTTCTGCTGTATATGTTAACTTTTAGCTGAATATGTTAACGTCAACATGAACATATTAACTTTCAATTGAACACGTTAACTCTCAGCTGAACATGTTAACTTTCTACTATATATATTAACTTTCATTCTAACATGTTGACTTTAACATGAACATGTTAATTTTCATTTGAAGACGATAACTTTCAACTGAACATGTTAACTTTTAGATGTAAGAAAATAATAATATGTTACTACGAAAATGATAATATGCTGCTATAAAAATGCTATCATATACTCAAGCAATATAAGCTGTAAGAATGTAAGAATTTTTGTATAATGTACTTGTTTAGCTGGGGTATATTGTTTGTATTTCCTATAAAATGTCTTGGTGCTAAAACTATTTTCAGCTAGATAACTTTCAGCTAAACATATTAACTTTTATTTGACTATGTTAACTTTGAGATGAACATGTTGGCTTTTAACTATACACGTTGACTTTCAAATTCTTTAGACTTTAAAGTGAAAATGTTAACTTTTAGTTAAATATATTAAATTTAAGCTAAAAATCTTGACTTTAACCTGAACATGTTAACTTTCATGTGAGTATGTTAACTCTCATATATATATGTTAACTTTCAGGTGTATATGTTAACTTTCAGATGTATATGCTAACGTTCATGTTAACTATCAGCTGTATATGTTAACTTTCATCTGCATATGTTAACTTTCTTAGGAACATGTTATATTTCATCTCTGCATGCTAACTATTAGCTGAATATGTTAACTTTCAGCATAATATGTTAATTTTTACTATTACGTGTCAGCTTTCTTTATAACATGATAACATGCAACTGAATATGTTAACTTGTCAAATTTACATGTTAAATATTTGCTTTTCATATTGACATTCAAGTAAACATGTAGCTTTTCATTTGAACCTATTAAATATATGTTGTATAAAAAAAACGTAAATATATGGTGGAAAAAATACCATAAATACAATAAGAACAATAAAGATCAAGTTTGCTATAATGTTTATCATCCACATCAACTGTTTACACAAATAAAATAATATACACAATACAGACATGCGCACAGGTTTTGGTTCAATCAATCAATTTTTAGAATAACTTTTTCTGATCCTTATCTAATGTCTCTTCTTGATTCTTCTGTTCTCATCATTCTACTAGAAGTTCAGTTGTAAGCCTGACACGTATGACATCGGATTCATCTTCAAGAGTAGTTACTTGAAGTGTATCAACACCACAGATTATAGCATTCACATATAAGGGAACAAAAATTTCACAATTAAAACTACATGATATAAAATAGCAAGGTAGTTAGATATATAATATTGGATGAAATAAAAAAAAATTAAATTTGTGAAATGCTATCATTTCAGACTGTTACTCGCAAGAGACGGCTTCATATCTGTACTTTTTCCAAACATTCTGGGGATAAAATAAAAAGATTAAATACTAATAAACGAGAATTATTGACATGCATTGCTAATAGCTAACAACAAATGATAATTACAACATGCAATAAAACCTCCTGTTGTTAAAACACTTTTTACGCCGCAACAGCTACCCTATGTTTCATCTACTTTGCTTTTGCACAATTATCTTTTGATGTAGTAACATCATCCAACCAAACAATTATGTTGACATTTAGACATACTTTGAACAATATAGAACTCCAATTACCCTAATCCAAACACACCCCAACAAATTCACATAGATTTCATAAGAACTTCAAAAAAAATAATCTTTGCTAGCAAAATTGTATAGAAATCCTACCGCCATATGGAACTAATCCAATTTGGACACAAGGCAACTAATATCTTAAGCCATCCAAAAATTCTTATCACCGCATCAAAAGAGACAAAAAAACTAATCTATTCATCAAAAACAAAACAACTAATCTATTCATCAAATAGCTAATTTATATACTTACAATCTTCAAATCCATCAGCCCATCAAAAGGCTGATACATAGTTAATCTTGCAATACTCAAACCCCCATTCCTCTCATCCATCAACGACTCCTCCAAATTACTCTACAGCCAATCCCCAATCAGATCCAACGATAGCTGCTATAAAACCAAAAAACAAACCCTAAAATCTCGATACAAATCAAATCTTTGCATCAAAAGAAAACAATTGCTGCTACCACCCTATTACCTTGGACTCCGCTAGTCCGAGCTGAATCACCCCGCTAGGGTTCGACACCTAATCGTACGGATCCTCAGCGCACCTCTTCATCCTAGCATAGTAAGTAGAATCTTTACCCCTAGCAACAGCAGCGGCACGTGTCGACACGTGTGCCGGCGCCAGAGAACCACATGGCAAGAGGTGGGGCGGGACTAAGGTCGGAAGATGGCGGCGGCGTCCGCGTCGGAGAGATCGCCGGAGTTGGAGGATGAGCGACGAGTTTTGAAGTAGAGCTGGAAGAAGTAGAAGAGGGCGCAGGGGATCAAGGTGCCGAGGACGAGGCCGCCTCAGCCTTGGACGACGCCTTGGAGAGGGATGATGATGCAGATCGTCACGCCGGAATCAGATCGTGTCGGTGGTTGGGAGCTCGTGTCGGCCGGCCGATCTGTTATGAGTTAGGTTCGGTTTCATTTGCTCATGTTTTCCCTCTTCCTTTCTCTCTTTCTCTGCTTCTCTTCGGAGTCTTTACTCTTTTTGGGGGGATGGGTTAAGGGTAGTTTTGGGTTTTGGTAAATGTTTCTCTCTGTGCTGAGTTGGAAAGGTAAATAGGGGCTTAAACATAATTATTCTATGTATTGGGGGCTTCCTTGCATAAAAACTAATACAGGGGCTAGTCACAATCACTTTATTTTTTGGAGGCCTTGACACATTTTTTCCTTGTATCTTTTAAAAATAAAATGTCGCAACCAGAAGTTTATTGGTCATAAATAACCAATATTACAGAGATAGAGAAGGTGGCCTAATAAGTTACATGGAAAAGCTATGTCGCTCCTTGTGGGGGGCCTGAGTTCGATTCTCGTATGCGCCAAAGGCACGAGAAAATAAAAATTTTACAGAGATAGAGAGTATATGAAGTGGAAAGATAAGAATAAACCAGAATTTGCATATGTTCTACTTTAATTCAGCAATAGGGTATAATTTCAAAATAAACGTTACTTGATTGTAAGCTTATACCACAACAATAACTAGAATGCAAAAAGATTTAGAATGTAGAAAATTTAATGTAGAAGAGAGAATGTGATAATTGCATTTATGGTTTTGGTGAAATATATAGTTTTAGCTATAACAAACTAGAATAAGTTGTACCAAGATATCTCTACCAAGATATCTCTAGATGATAGCAACTAGTTACAACAAAATAGATCTAGTTGGGTTACACAAATTATTCATAATATTTGAATCTGCCATCATTCCCCCTCAAGCTGCAGTACAAATATATAGAAGCAAAGCTTGCTGATGAATATACAAAGAAACTTCAAAGATAATACTGATCAAACATGAGACATGTAGGTAGAGGAGGTTGATAAGACTACACGCGAGAAAAGAAGGTCAATGAGACTACACATGGAAAAGAAAGTCGACAAAGTTGTACATGAGAAGTGCAATATGTCTATGTGCAGGAATAGAAGATCGACATGAATATGTGTGAGAAAATGAGATTGATAAGATGTGTGCAAGAAAAGAAAGTCAACGAGATTGCATGTGAGTGTTAGTATTTGTTTGTAAAAAAACAAGATAGTCCCACATTGGAATTTTGAACATTCTTTTAGAGGTTTAAAAGCATTGAATGCTTATTGGGCTTTGAATAATGGATCAAAGTGTAGGCTTCTAAACCTGCGTACGGGTAGCGCGAATAATGCGCGATTATTAGACGTACTTAGCACTTTGCACGCTTGCCGCTGCCGCTTAAATATTCTATTTTTTATATATATAATTATATATTGGCTTAATAAATCTAAGTTAAAATATGATAAAAAGAGAATAGTTTGTATTTTGTAATTGAAATTGGTTAGTAGATTATATTCTAGATTTCTTACCTCTTTTGAATTCTCCATCTTAACTTTCTTAAATTTTCTTTTCATTCTTTTTTTATTTCTTGATTTGATTCATTCATCTTTCTTGCATTGTGATTTCATTTATTCTTTGATTATTTCTTCTCTAAAATTCAATTTATTATCTCTTGCACATAAATCACGCTTGCCGCTGCCGCTTAAAT